GAGTCAAAAATAAGCATTTGCCTCCATTTTTGAATTATTTACAACTGTTAGTGGCTCCACTGATCATAACAATTGTTGACATTTGTTTCCACATTTATAGCTAAAATCGTTAATACTTGATTATCTCCTTTGAGACCCGTAATCTTTATTTTACCCATGAAGGCACTGAGATTGCAGGAGGGCCCAGAGTCTAAATTAATAAAGATATACTAACGGAAAGGTCAAGATGTTCTGGCCTGCTACAAATAGAATGAGGGAGGGAAAATTATGAGTAAATGATCTTTGAACAATTGAAAAATCTAACTAAATTGCATGCTACACATGACTTAAAACTCATCTCATACAAAAAAAAAATAGGCAGAGTTAACTACCATCATCAATTATAGGAAAGCAAATTTGAAATTTTTTCTGCTGAGCTGAAATGACCCTATTATTGACAGGAACAGCCCATGTTTTATTGACAATGGAGAAAAGTACATAAGAAAGTTACTAACAATTTCAAAATAGGTAATTGTTTGTTTTTTAAAATGTAAAAAGATTAAAATTTAAATTAGGTATTTTCAAACTGTAGCCATAGAATTTCTCAGATTGCATAAGTAAGCAGATATACAGAAGCTTAATTAATTTCTAATTTTAAATGTGACTGCTGGCTAGTAAAATCATGCTAAAAATAGAAACAGAGGGCTTTCTTAATGCCCATAAAAAATGACTTTTTTTGTTCTTGACTTGAACCCCATTTGACCAACTGCTTATAATTTTTCAATATGAATCATATTGTATTGATTTATTCCAAATGTTTACAAGGGAAAAAACACAAATTAGCCTGGTGAGCAGCAAAATAAAGGCAGTTTTTATGAAACCTGAGTTATGTTAACATGCAATCAAATGTAATCTTCATTTTAATATTTATACATCTTGTTATTGTTACGAACCTATTCTTAACATGGGTTTTATTTTATTTGTATCTCTCTTCCCTCACTTCTGTGAAATGCAGAAGGGAAAGGATGTTTGTTACTCACACATTTGTACCCCACTAACTGGTGTTACACATCTGGCTTCCACTGGAGAGCCCCTGACATCGCAGGGAACGGTGATCAAAATTCCACACTCTAGCTTCATGCTGGGGGCTCGTAGCTACTGCAGCATTGAAGAGGGTCTTTTCCTGGCTTCTTTAAAATAAGCATGGTGATGGGATGGTTTAAGGGAAGAACACCTCTCAAATCACATGACCACTGCTACGCTTCTGTGTGTCCCGCTTTCTTCATAACAGCTTGGCACTACATTCTTTCCCTGTATCTCAGTGGGCTTGTGTGTGTATGAGTGGGATGGGGGTTGGGGCGGGGGGTGGTTATCAATGGATGGTTATACATTATGCATGCATCTTTCAATGTTAGAGTGATGTGCCTTCCCTTATGTGTCACAGATATGGTCACAGATTAAATCTTCTGTGTTCCTGAGAGACTGGGCCGTCTCTCTTATTGGTGTGAGATTCATGTGTTTTAATGTTTACACCCTCAATTGTTCTTCATGTTGCATTAAACACAAGTTGAAATGTTTTCCCATAAGAGTTAGCTTTTCATGTTGGGCTGAAAAACTCTTCATCTCTGTGTAGCAATTCATGTTATTATAACCTATGGCTTTCAATTGTACCTCCCATAATGAAGAGCTGACTTTAAACACTGTGCTATTCTTGTTATGACCTAAGCATAAGGTAAGTCACTTCTCTAACTGTATCTAAAGATTGTGGTTGTTTGTTAAAATTTTCTCTGCTTTGTTTAAAGCTTTTTTACTTTTTTCCTTGCCATTTTATTATGTGCTCTCCCCCTTTTGTTTTCTGTTTCATGGCTTTAAAATTTGTTAATGGACAATGTGATTCTTCAGCAAAAATTATATTACACGTGTAAAAACATGTTGCAACAAATTAAGTGAATTATTTGATGTCTAAAACATTCTTGATTAGTAAATGAATATATTTTCAATAAGTCTCTTGTATATTTCATTTTCTCCATTGACTTTAATATCCCATTTCTACACATTTTAGTTTTGATTTCAGTTGATAGAGGAATTGTCAACACCACAAAGTCAGATGTAAATTGTAGTAAAATATCATAATCCAATAGAATAAAGTAACAGATAATTCAGTACCATACCTTTCATTTGTAATCCCTGACAAATTTGGTATTAGGCCAAAATCTTGGTTTTATTTTGTTTTTCAGACTTCCCTTTTATTTTATTTTTTCCCACTGAGTAAAAAGCCAGGATAAGACAAAGAAAACACAACACAAAACTTGAAACAGACCCTTGTTGCCTTCTTTATAGCTCATGTGTGTGAGAACAAGAGCAACAGTTGTTTTTCAACTTTATGCTTTCAGGTAAATTCCATTGCATTGTGAGTTAGGTAAAAATCTTCATACTGGGATTTTATTAAATGAAGTAAATATTATGACCAGTTTCATGGTGCAAGAGAGAGAGGCATCCTCTACATGCATAAATATTTTTAAACTTTTAAAATTATTTTCCTCATTTTTTTAACATATATGCTCAAGATCACTAAAGAAGTTTATGTAATTATTGATTTTAAAAGTGATTTCCCACAAATCTATGTCAGATAGCCAATGTAATATATAAATGCAAAAACATTGGTTATACTGCTGTTGGCAATTTGTGAACCTAAATAAATAGAATCAGGGAATTGAATTGTTCTCATTATCCAAATTTCACTTCCAAAACGTTGAAATATATAGTTCTAAATTGAGGTGCCACAAAGCAAGACTTGGGTTTCTTTATTAAATTTATGCTATGAGTGAATTTTTTGTTAATTCTTTAAGCCACCCCTGGAAGGGACAGGGTGTTCTTTTATTTTTTTTGTTTTTTGTTGTTGTTGTTTGTTATTCTTGGTAAAGACAGCTAGTTCTTCACCACCATTTCCATTTAGTCATTATATAAACCTGTTGAAACATTTGATGAGACATTTTGAACTACTCATCTGAACTGCTGTGTTCATTATAAATCTCTTGTTTCTATCCGTACACTAGCTCCACTCTAGATTGGAAGGGCTTAAAGATGAACTCTGGAGGAATAGAGGCTACGACTTAAGAGTAACTATTACTGATCAAAGGAGCTGCTTTCCATTCGCAAACATTGCTTTGCGCTATGGGTTTGGGCTCCTTCTGTTTCTACATCTTGTTGAAGACTTTCTTGACTTCCATTTGACTTCTTTGAACTCTGTTTTTGTCTTTCAACATTTTCCCCTTTCTTTTTCTTCTCTCTCCCAGATTTTTCTCACACTCTAGCTTTCTCTTGTGTTCTTTGAATCGCTTTTCAAAATGTAGTTTATCTCTTTATTAAGCTTGTCTTTAATTTGTCTATTGGTGTTTGTTTCTTTTCTCCTTTAAGGCTGTAGTGGTTTAGTTACACTTATTTTCATTCCATGGTATGCCAACTTGCTTGTTTATCTTACAGCAAGTTCATTAGTCATTCTTACCTTCTTGGTATGAATTTTCAACAAGGAATAGCAGAATATTCTGCATTTACATATTGTTCCCTTCTATAAACCCATACTTTCTTTTCTATCTGCTAGATTTACCCCTCAAACCCCTCTCTCTCTTTCTTTTCTTTTCCTTGCTCTTGTGTCTTCCTCCCTATGTTGTTTTCTTTAAGTAGTCATTAATTTCTTTCCCATTTGGTCCAGAATTGTTTCTCAATAAAACTCCTGAGTAAAAGAATATAAGAATACTATCTTCTAGATTAGCTTCTGCATTCTAGTATATTTAAAACTAATTAAACAATCTGGGCCAAAAGAGAATAAATAACTAACATCTGGAATTATTTCTCCCTTTTTTTTTCTTTTTTGGTGTGTGTGTGTGTGTGTGTGTGTGTGTGTGTGTGTTTCTTGTGTGTATGTGATTTTTCTATTATTGTTTTTTCTTTAAACATTAACAATTGTTTTTTTCAGGGAAGGACAACCATAACCCACCCTAAGTTGCAACATTCCTTTCATAAATTGTTTCATTACAATAGTAGATTGTGTTAAGCGATAGAAATTAATTTGTTGTGTATATATTCATTTGGGGCAAGCTGCTGTGGAATAGGAAGAAGAGGTGTGGGGTTTAAATACAGTTTCCTCTGAGATTAACAAGTGGTAATGTGATCCAATATAGCCCCTGAATTCAACAGTTTTACAACATTTAAAAGAATGTTACACCCTAACCTGAAATATTTGAATCAAAGCATAAGGGTTTCTGATTGATAAACTATATATATATATATATATATATATATATATATATATATATATATATATATATATATGGTATGCCAACTTGCTTGTTTATCTTGCAGCAAGTTCATTAGTCATTCTTACCCTCTTGGTATGAACACACACACACATGCACACACGCACACATACACACATACACATACACCTGAGAACTGGTAAATAAATGTGTTCAAATTCATTGATTTCCAACAGAAGCATCTTTCATAACCAATATTAATAAATAACAAAGGCCATTAGAATCACATGTCAGTATTCTACATGAGGATTTTCCCCTCATTAACATATATAACCAAAAATGACTACAATAGAATATTTGATTGCAACTTGATTACTTGAATTGCATTATTAGCCTAGTCAAGATATATACATAGTGTCTTAAGATTAAGGGTCTGTATTCACAACTGAATACATGGTAACTTAAATTTTTTCCATATACTAATTTTAAATACACATCAATAAAAAAATTGCCTTTGATTTTACTATGTCACATAACCTTGTACTCCCAATTTTTTTCTAGAAGTCAGCTATTCAAAGTAAGGAAAGGATAATTTAAAAAAAATATGTGGAACAAATGTCACATATATTTTACTAACATGTTAGGATATCTGAGATATATAAAGCCTTGCTCCTAGACCTCAGGAGCTTGCCCAATAAGTATGCATACATGTATGGCTATCTATGTTATAAGCCCTAAATTACTGAGTTTATGCTTTCTCTGCAGGTCCAGTCCAGGTGCAGCAGCAAGGAGAACATTCTCAGAGCCAGTAAGTATATCATTATTTCAGTGGACTACTGAATTAGAGCTTGTAGCTCAACAGGAAAGAGAGCTGAAAATGACATTTTGGTGAAAGGATGAAGACGGTAATAGGGAAACTTTATATCGAGACTATGAATACTAACTAGGGCTTTTACCTTCTAAAATTATTGGTACCACTAAAATAAAACAAAATTCTTTTATTTTAAAGTTATATTAATGAATGCTTCCCTTATTGTAATTGTTTTTGCCAGCTAACAGCAAAACTTTGATAGCACTCCTAGTTAGGGTAGTAATGAACGCCTCTGTGAGTCTGCAGTGAGAACCCTCTTTAACTGCCCCACTGCCAAAAAGTTATTTGAAAACATACAAACTGAAAATAATAATATAAATCCACTAAAGGAATCTAACTAAAAAGAAGTGACTCCTAAGAGGATGCACCATTATTATTTTGTGAAGGTGGATTCGTGAAACATCGTACTTTACAGGCAGCTTGTTTTAGAACATAGTGCCCTGAGCCAAGGATGAAGAACCCTTAATTTTATTTTTTGTTTGATTACTAATAACATTAGCTTGGAAGTCATTTAATTTTATGTATTATTCATTTTTCTGTCTTATAAAAGAACTATAATTAGCTTTTCCTTACCTGTATCTTTGAAATGATATGACATTGAAGATTGTGCCTTAAAAGCTTTGGGATCCTAAGAGAAAAGTGCTGTATCAATACTAATTATTTTAATATTGCTCTCTTTCACTTAACATTAATGATGTCATCCTTTCTTCTTCCTAATCTTTATCAAGAGAAGAAGTACAAGTGGATCATACTGAAATGGGTCTATTGGATATTTATACCACTGGGAGTTTTAGTAAATGAGATTTTTTTTATATTTCCAGTAGAATGTCTGTATAATTTAACAATCAAAAAATAATTGGAGAACTTCAAATAGGTAAAAATTCATCTTTTATTTTATTTTTTTAATGTAAATTTTTCCCATTTCTGTATTGTAAGTCTGTTGCCTTAGCCTGAAACACTGCAACTGTTTGCCCAGGACCTTTATATTAGAGTTATATGAAAATAAAAGCAAATAGCCATGTTTAACCTGTATACTTCGGTGAGTTTCCACAACATTTGACAGACATGTGAATATGAGGAGGCTCTTCAATTACAATAAATGTGAAGTCTTATAATCCCTTACTAAGACCTAATGTTCAAAAACGTAGGAGTCAGGGGAATGATGATTGAATATTCACTAAACTAAAATAATAGAGATAAATGAGCTTTAAAAATTACATTTTGTGATGATTACTGTATGATTTCCATTTATTGTTGACCCTGAGATGATGATGGATAACTGATAGAGATTATGGTGATTAGGAACAAGATTAATTTCTTGTTGAGAACAGACTTCTGTGAACTATTTTTCACCTCTCTCATGGTGGATCTTTGTGTTGTTAGGACTGTCTTTCACTTCAGATATGCTCTTACTGGCTTGTTGGCTCTTAATCACTTTGGCTGAACATCACGATGGTCCAGATTTTTATGATCATGTTCTTAGGATGAGATAGTCATGTAGATGGTCCATATAGCCATTTAGATCCAGGTAGAGAGCCCATTTAACACCATAGCCTCATAGTTCTGTGACTTCAATAAGTTTAAGGTTTTTCCTCTCAACACCACTTTAGTAATTCATTCTCATGCTTATAGCCACACCTAAAACTCTTTCATTACCACGAGTTGTTCTGCCTCTGAACTTCTTAATGTCAGTATCTCTTTGCTTATTTAGTCAACTTTGTATCTCCCTTTTTTTCTTCCTTTGTCATGTACTACTATATTGCAGTCATACAGACCCTATTAGCAGTTCCCCATCTCTCAATGCTATGTCCTGCCTCTATTCTTTTGGACCCTTTCCCCCACTGCATAAAATACTTATTCCCCTTATTTTCCTAGAAAATTCTTATCTTTCAAGACTCAGTTCAAGTGTGATTTCCTCTGTGATGCCTTCTCCCCAAGCAAGGTGACTAATCCTTTTATACCCCTACTGTTTCTTCTACTTTAATAATTTTTTCATTTATTTCCTGAATTAACTATCCTCAAAGAAAACATTTCTAAAATGTAGACAACATAAACTATACAGGCATGCCTCGTTTTATTGTGCTTTACAGATATTGCATCATTTATAAACTGAAGGTTTATATTGGGTCATCGGGAAAGTCATGACTTATTTTTCTATGTTTTTCAGTGCAGACGACCCAATAGTAATCCTGCATTGAGCAAGTCTATCAGTGCCATTATTCCAACAGCATTTGCTCACTTTATGTCTCTGTGTCACGTTTTAGTAATTCTCGCAATATTTCAAAGTTTTTCATATTATTATATTTGTTATAGTGATGTGTGATCAGTGATATTTGATGTTACTATTGTAATTGTTTTTGGGATGCCACGAGCCATATGCATATAACAAAGCAAACTTAACTGATAAATGTGTGTGAGTACTGATTGCTCCACCAACTGACCATCCCCCTATCTCTGTCCCTCTCCTTGGGCTTGAGACACAAAAAATATTGAAATTCGGCCAACATGGCCTTCTAAGCGTTCAAGTGAAAGGAAGAGTCACACTCCTTTCACTTTAAATGAAATGCTAGAAATGATTAAGCTTATGAAGAAGGCATGTTGAAAGCTGAGACAGGCTGAAAGCTAAGCCCCTTGTGCCAAATAGTTAGCGAAGTTGTGAATGCAAAGGAAAAGTTCTTGAAGGAGTTTAAAAGTGCTATTCCAGTGAATACATGAATGATAAGAAAGCAAGATAGCCTTATCACTGATACCAAGAAAGTTGTAGTGGTCTGGATAGAAGATCAGACCAGCCACAACATTCCCTTAAGCCAAAACCTAATCCAGAGCAAGGCCCTAACTCCTCAATTCAGCAAGGCTGACAGAGATGAGGAAGCTGCAGAAGAAAAGTTTGAAGCTAGCAAAGGTTGGTTCATGAGGTTTAAGGAAAGAAGCCACCTCCATCACATAAAAGTGCAAGCTGGAGCAGTAAGTGCTCGTGTAGAAGCTGCAGCAAGTTGTCAGAAGCTCCAGCTAAGATCAGTAATGAAGGTGGCTGCACTAAACAACAGATTTTCAATGTAGACAAACAACCTTCTATTTGACGAAGGTGCCATCTAGCATTTTCAGAACCAAAGAGGAGAAGTCAGTGTCTGGATTCAAAGCTTAAAAAGACAGGGTGACTCTCACTAGTGGCCAGTGTAGCTGGTGACTTTAAGTTGAAGCAAATGCTCATACACCATTCAAAAATCCCAGTGCTCTTCAGAATTGTGTTAAATCTACTCTGCCTGTGCTCTATAAATGGAACAACATAGCCTGGATGACAGCACATCTGTTTACAGCATGGTTTACTGAATATTTTAAGCCTCCTATTGAGAACTGCTCAGAAAGAAAGATTCCTTTCAAAATAGCACTGCTCATTGACAATGCACCTGGTCACCAAAGAGCTCTTAAGGTTGTTTTCATGCCTGCTAGCACAACATTCATTCTGTAGCCCATGGTCAAGGAGTAATTTCAACTTCAAATCTTATTAGTTAAGAAACACATTTCATAAGGCTATAGCTGCCATAGATAGTGATTCCTCTGATGTGTCTCAGAAAAGTAAATTGTAAACCTTCTGGAAAAGATTCACCATTACATGTCATTAAGAACATTCATGATTCGTGGTAAGAGGTCAGAATACCAAGAGATTAGAAGTTGAGTCCAACCCTCATGGATGACTTGAGGGGTTGAAGACTTCAGTGGAGGAAGTTCAGATATAGTGAAAATAGCAAGAGAACTAGAATTAGAAGTGGAGCCTGAAGATGTGACTGAATTGCTACAATCTCATAATAAATTTGAACAGATGAGGAGTTGCTTCTTGTGGATGAGCAAAGAAAGTGGTTTCTTCAGATGGAATATACCTCTGGTGAAGATGCTATGAAGATTTTTGAAATTACAAGAGAGGATTTAAAATAAACTTGGTTGACAAAACAGCGGCAGAGTTTGAAAGAATTGACTCCAAGTTTAATAAAAATTCTGTGGATAAAATGTTATCAAATAGCATCACATGCTACAGAGAAATCGTTCATGAAAGGAAGAGTCAATAAATATGGCAAACTTCATTTTTGTCTTATTTTAAGAAATTGACACAGCCATCCCAGCCTCCACCAACCACCACCCTGATCAGTCAGCAGCCATTAACATAGAGATAAGACCCTCCACCAACAAAAAGATTATGCCCCGCTAAAGGTTCATATGATGGTTAGCAATTTTTAGCAAAAACATTTTTTAATTAAGGTATGTACAGTTTTTGAGAAATAATGCTATTGCACACTTAATAGGCTACAGTATAATATAAACATAACTTTTATATGCACTGGAAAACCAAAACATTTGTGTGACTCTCTTTATTGTGATATTTATCTCAGGTACGCCTGTAACCATCTTCTTTTTTAGCATATATAAAAATGTGTCAGTGGATCCTAGAGAAAGAAGAAGAGTTAGAACTTAGTACAGCTTGTCTAGAATTATCGAAGGAAGAGTTAACTTTTGTAATTTTGTCCAAGTAAGAGGTAACTTTTCTTTGGCTCCTCAAAAAATACCACCAAAACAACCTATTGATAATAAAGCTGAGTTTATTCTTACTATGGTGAAAGAGAATACCACTTCAACCAAATCTTAGTCTCAGAGTCAGAGTCTTAGAAAGGGAAGAGCAAAGTCGAGATATTTATGGAATCTTGAAGTTTGATTTAAAACAGATCTTTTAATGTGGGAGCTTCGTTAGAATTAAACAAGTATCATGATATAATCATTTAGGAATCGTGGACACATCAAGGCAAGGGGTTCTGAGAGTCTTAGTGTGTAAACTACCTTTTGATACTTGCTGTTTAACAAGTTTCTATAATGAACAATCAAGTTATTTACATCTTTTATCTTCTGGATTAGTAAAATTATATTGATAAAGGTAGTAGAATAGTAAT